TCAATGGCAACTGTATCTTGGCAAAATACAAAATGCAGGCAACCTTATAACTACCCCAAAGTTGTCCTTTGTTTTTTTTTAAATTTACTAGACCATAAAATTCCAAAGTTGGAAACTATAGAGCAAGATAATATCAAGTGCCTCTTATCCATAAAAACCTCTGGCCTTGTGGGATCACTAATAATATTTTTGCTCTTAGGTTGCCTGTTGAAAAGAGAACTTGATCCAAGACAACCTATAGAAGGGATTGTAATTCGGGGAGGTGTGATCTGAGAAAGGGAGTTCTAGAGCTTTTGTGCCAGACGTTGGCAGGCAGAGAGAGAGATCCAGAGATCTAGAAACAAGACCTGTCCATCATGGTTGAGCTGCCATTTGGGGGTGGAGATAACATGAGATCAGCTAGCCCAGCAGTTCTTAAGTCTGGGGATTTTTTCATTCAATAAGTAAAAAGAGAAAACAAAACCAAAAAAAAAAAAAAACCAACAAAAAAAACACCCTTAACCAGTCATAAGGTTGTCCGCTTTTAAAAAAATTTTGTCAAGATGCAGTGGTCATCTACTATGGCCATCATTTCTTAAAAGAAAGGACATCATAACACCAAAAAGTGAGGAAGAACACAATCTCAGCGTAAAAGACAATCCTTTTAATGCAATCAGACTAGTGATATGAAAACCCACAGCTGATGGAAGGAACTCCATCAGGGGTAGACACAGCATGGTGTGCAGACAATGCGTGGGTAGGTGACCCTGGTGGGTTCAGACAAGCAGTCTGAGTTATGACGGTCCAACCAGAGAAGGAACTTGGCGGGATCTCAGGCAGGCAACTGTGGCTTTGCCAGCGGGCAGGCTGAGGGCTACTGTCAGCCTTTGGCAGCTACAGGTGATCTTCTCAACAGTTATGGGACTCAGGATGCACACCTCTGGTTTTAGACAGGGGGGATGGATGGACAATAAGAATAAGCAGGACCCCATGCCAGGAGAACTTTGGACAAAAAAAAACACAACCTTGTTATCAAGCTGATAAGTCAGGCACAGAGGTAGAAAACGAAGAACCAGTTACTCAAACTGGAAGATGAGGTGAGGTTTCAGAGTGGACCTGGAATGTAAGATCAGGGTGGAGAGGTGGAGCTGAGCTTCTGAACCAGGCCTGCTCTGGGGGCTCACAACCCTGATCGGCACATTCGAATCACTGCTGTCCATGCTCAACCACCAGATTCTGTTATAATTGTCATGGGGTTTGTCCTAGGCTTTGGCATTTTTTAAAAAGCCACATCAGGTGATGCTGCTGCACAGCCAGGGTTGGGAGCCCCCGGGCTGCGCTAAGCCTCTGCAGGGAGGATAGGATCTGTGGCCGACTGAGGTCTGGCTGTGTCTACAGGTGACACCTGGGGGGGAGTTAGAATAAGGGAGGAGGAGAGAGCAGGCAGAGGGTACAGAGCAGACATGCAGAAGTTGCCCCGTGGCTGTCTGAACAGGAGCTCAGGGAAAAGCCAGCTTGCTGAAAAATTCAGAGAGGTCTTTGCTATTCACTGGTAGAAGCTAACACCCCCGTTGGGGAGCACTGGCTTAGCAAATATAGCTTTGTGTGTGTTAATTGCTTCAGTAGATGTAAGAAGCATGACAGGTATTCACTCAAGCAGAAAGAGCAGAATTTCTCAGATATCTTCCACTCATTTTATTCAAAATTGAAAGGCTAGCCTGCCGTCAGCTGGGGCATTTTGCTCTGCACAGGAAACCAAAACTTTCATCACCTGCCTGATGGTCTCGAGCTGGAAACCTCGAGAAATGGGCATGACACTAGCTCCTCTGCATATGGTCATTACCACTGTTAGAAGCCCCAGTGTTAAATTTTGCTGTGAAACCATAGCAATAAAAATGTTGGGTGGACTTTTTTGCCTTAGTAGTTTGCCAAGCAAAGAAAAAAAAATGCTCAGAGACCATTAGAAGAGCTTGAGACACTTTTGGTGGGAGACATATGATATCAAATAATAAAAATAATAACAGTAGTCGGATTTACTAAGTGCTTACTATCTTAATCTTCTTGGGCTGCTATTAAAAAATACCACAGATTGGGTGGCTTAAATAACAGAAATGTATTTCTAACAGTTCTGGAGATCAAAGTGCCAGCTAGTTTGGTTTCTGGCTTGTGGATGGCAGCCTTCTTGCTCTTCACGTGGGGGGTGGAGGGAGGAGAGAGAGAGGGAGACAGTGAGCTCTGCAGTGTCTCCTCCTATAAGGACACCAATCCCATAGGATCAGGGCCCCACCCTTGTGACCGCACTTAACTTAATTACTTCCTAATAGGCCCTGTCTCCAAATCCAGTCAACACTGGGGGTTGTGGCTTCAACATATGAATTTTGGTGGAACACAGTTCAGTCCATGGCACTTAGCATATGCCAGTGTTGTTTTGAGAACTTTGTAGATGTTAAGTAGTTTAATCCTCACAATCCTGTGAAGAATATACTCTAATAATTCCTATTTTATAAAAGAAGAAACTGAGGCTCAAAAGTCAAGCAACCTGCCCAAGGTCCCATGACTGTAAGTAATCTCTTTGAAGTATCAGGTGTACTAAGAAATTGCCAGACTGGCAGCACTGCTGACACCTCCCCTGCTCCTTATAGAGTGAGTCCTCTTGGTTGTGTCAAATTCCCCAAGGGCTCTAAACAGCTAATGAGCTCTGACACCCATGATTAGGAGAGCTATATTGGAAATATTTGGTACTTATACCCTCTCTCCTCACAATGGACTAAAAGCTGAATTCAAAGGCACAGTCTCACATTTGCTTGTAATGCCATTAGGTCAATTTTGCTTCATTTATGTCTTAAACCAATGTTTTTGGGAACCATCATGTTATCAGCCACTCACACTTTTTCTGTTCTCAAAGAGTTTAGGTGAGGGAGCCAGACTTATTTATAAATAATGAAAATACAAAGTAGTAAGTGCTATAAAAAGTTGTATCCAGGAGAATAGAAAGTGAAAGAGGGACCACAGATCACAGAGACCATCACAGAAAAGGCGGTGTTCAGTTTGAGTCTTGAAGGATTAATGCCAGTTGGCCAGGAAGCCCTGCAGGAAGGGTCTTTCAGGCACGTGGAGGGAGGACATGGTATCTCCAGAGGGCATCATGCACATGGGGTAGCACAGGGGACCTGAGTGGCTGAGCCGAAGGGGGCAGGCTGGGGAGCTGCAGCAAGATAGGACCTAAAGTGTCATTGGGAAAGGGGCTAAATCCCAAATCATGCAGAGCTTTATCTGCCTTTCTGAGAAGTGTTGCTGCAATAGCTGCCGGCTAGCCCTGCAGGACTTTAAGCCCAGGAACAACATGGTATGATTTGTGTTTCAGAAGGAGAATAGTAGGAAGGCCAGAGATTTGAACCAGCAGGTTGAAGATAGGGGACCTTGCTGTAGATCTCACCAGAGATGCTGAGAGCCTGCACCCAAGAGCTGAAGTTTGGAGCTGGAAAAGTCAGAGTGGACCCTTGAGATTTATAGTCCATATTTAGGAAGTGAATCCAGTGGTGCTCAGTGCCTGAAAATAAAAACTGAAACTCGCTCTGCATTATCTGATTATATGCAAATACAATCCTTGAAAAACATCAAGCAATTTTTCCCTACTAGTTTATGATAGATATTCTTTAGATACTTTTCATGATCAAAAATTACACTGTTAGATTGCTGTTCACATGTAGAGCTCTCCAGTTGCCAATGTGAATTGATCACTATTAGTATATTGTTGAATAGTTTATATTCTATTATACTTGATATTCATTTATGTGTTTCATCAAACTTTTCTTAGTTCCACTGCTGTTGCAAGAAACAAGCCAAGTGGGGAGAGATTAACAGCCATAGTTCTCCCTAGTTTTGAATCTATCTTCACTAGCTCCCCATTCCCTACCTCCTGTCTTTCTCTAGCTACTTCTAGAGACATTCTCTCTTTTACTTTTCTGTTCTTGGGAGAGAGCTTAATAGTTCCCTTAACTCCTTAGTTTGGTTGAGATAAGGTTGGCAATTTTCAAAAGAAAATCTGTCGAGGTCAGATTTCTTGTCGTATGTCAATGAGAAGTAGTCCCTATAGATTTCCTTATGTAAGTCATAGCTTCCAGAATCTTATGTCAAAATATTTTGGCTTTATGGAAGAACTATTATGCTATTTCCTTTTTAAAAATGTGAATGGCTTCACTTTTGGCTTTGCTTATCAAGAAGCTCAGGGTCAAATTTTGCATCCAATATAACAAATATTAGAATTTACTCTGTTTTTCTCTACTCCAATTCCCCATTTCTTTTAGCCCCCTTTTCAAATTTATTTTTTAAAGCTTAGGGTATTTCATCTCAAATCCTTTCAGAGAAATGGGCCATGAGTAAATTCTCCATAATAAATTCTTGTCGGCTGCAGGTGAACATTGACTTGTTTGGAACAAGTTATCAGCTGTCGATTCCTTGCCTTCCCTCCTGATTCAGTTTGTCTACGACACATTCCCTGGAAAAGCTTCAAGCCGTATTCACTCTGGATGGGAACCTTGGCCATCACTAGGGCCCATGAGTTCTTGGAGGTGGCAGCCTCTCTCTTGACCTGGTCTTAGTGCCTTTTCCGGCCAGTAGAAAGCACCTCCACTCTCTGTTTTAAGCCCACAACGTTTCCCCAACTCCTATTCCCTGGTTTCCATACTGAGTGATCTTTCTAGTTCTTTGCTTGTTTTTAAAGCTGAGGTTATTGGCTTTCTCTGAGCCCAATTAATCCTCCAACCTTCTAGGTTACCTAGACCTTGCACTTCCCCTAGTAAGTGTTCTTAAAATAAAAGCTGCATTAATAACCAACACATACGATGGACTTATCTTGTACCTAGAATTGTGCCAGGTGCTTCCAGTACATGATGTTATTTAGTTCTCACTGCATACCTAGGAGTTTAAAAATATTATCACTCCCATTTTTCAAGAAAAACTTGAGACTCAGAGAAGTGAAATAGACTATTCAAGGACACAAGGACACATTGCTAAGTAATTTCAAATTCAAGCCAGAAGAGGAGCTGAGGAGTAAACCAAGGCAGTCTGATTCTTGTGTGCCCTCCCACAGCCTCACAGCATCCTTTATCCTCAGGCACATGCCATGCCAGGGAGTGGGCATCGAACATTCTGATCATCACAGTTTGATTATGTCAGCATAGCTGCAGCTTCCTGGAACAATAACAGGGAAGAGGTAGGTTACTCGCCCACAGACCTGCATCTAAATCACTTTTAATTGTTTTGTCATTATTGGCTTGGGTACAGATGGGATGTTTGTGTGATGAAAATTGGCTTGTGCATACTATTTCTGACCATTCTCATGCTTATTATGAGGCCCCGTTTTTTTGTGTGTGTTTTATATTTTCAGGTTACCAAAAATAATTCCTTACAAATGAGAATTTATGCCTGCAAAGAGTAGTGAACAAAACTTGATTTTTGCCTGGAAGAACTGACAGTCACTCCTTTCCATGCACAGCAGACTTTCCCATTAGAAACTACATATATAAAATGTTAAAAAAATAAATAAGGACAATATTTATTATGCTGAAAAAATACCTCAATGACAATGACTATCACATTTAGAACAGTTCAAATTTTACTGTTGTCTATTTTTTTCATCCTACCAAGATTGAGTCTCCGTATACTCTGGAAGAAATCTTAATGTTAGTATAAAGGAGAACACCTCACTCTGGAAGGAAAAAAAATGGATTTTTTTCCTCTCTATTATTTTAACCAAATGAAAATAGCATGCAGACCTGTAACCTTACATATCTTATATCTTATCACTTTCTCACTCTCTCTCTCCTCATCCCTCTCTGTCTCTCACACACAGAGAAATCCTTAGCTGACGATAGACAGATATCTCTGAATGGGTTAAAAATAAACACAAGGCCTCCAAAGAAAGGCAGAAACAGTAATGACAGTTTTGAAGTTTCCAGTACCTGTTGTGACAGGAATAACAAATTAATTGGGACTGTAACGGATTCTTTGTAAAGGTGAAGTAAACACACTTGACTGTATATTTTTCACCATCAGTTAAGTCTCAATTGGTTCTAAAAATAAACAGAAGACATTGAACAGTTTTAATGGATTCTGACACCTAGGTATTATGCTGTCACTCCAGTATAAATGAATCATAACTTTGGACTGCACATAGGAATTACTACACATTTGGAGAAAATTTATGGTGCACCAAGCTTTGAATCATGATGTGATATCAAAACTAAAGCCAAAAGAGGAAAAAAGCAGGGCATAAATTATTATCCTCAAGCCCTTATGTATCCACCAGTGCAACAGGTAAAGGTTAGAGGATTTAGGAATACTGCCAATAATTATTGTGAGTGCTGAAACAAATTTATCCTTCTGAAAGTGGCTTACAATAAAAAGAATAAACAAGAAATCCAGCAGAAGGCCACTCTTGTACACATGACAGAAATGTTAAATTTCCCCTTGGTATGTGTGTCCGACTAGACTAGAATCTTCCTTAGGGCACGAGCATTTCTGTGATCTGAAAGGGCACACATTTTGATTTCCAACAAAAGGACCAGACATTGGAGCCGTTCATTTACTGAATTGACTACGTTAATAACCACAACCAGTCAAGCTCATTGTTTTCAGTCACATAGACAAAAATCTGAACTTCGTGCCTTTCAAATGAAGGTTGAAATGGTCTAGACATTGCTTTGAAGTCTGTGACTAATCACAGAAGGAAGACTGCCAGAGGATATGCCATTTTGAAAAGAGAAATCTGTGAATAAATAACAATGTTTTGAGACTGGGTATGTATCAGAGGAAAGTGTTAAATGTTCATGTATTCATTTGATTGAAATGTCAGGTTTTAAAGAGAATGATACTTAAAGATATCAGCTTCAGACATCAGGAGAACATTTTTTTAAAGCACTTCTATTGCATAATAGAAATAACAATACTGCATATTTGTATGACATTTGAAATTTTTCAAAGCATTTTCATAAATAGTACTTTATTCTATGTTCTGCAAAGCAACATGACCGACATATTACTCCATTTCACAGATAAAGAAATGGAGACAGAGAGATTCACTCAATCAGTGAAGAAGCAAATATTAGAAAGATGATCTTTTGCTTGTTGGACCAGTCTTTCTCTCTCTCTCTCTCTCTCTCTCTCTCTCTCTCTCTCTCTCTCTCTCTCTCTCTCTTTCTTTTTACTGTTGGATAGTAGGGACAATCTAACATATGTGTAGATTACAACTGGGCAGCAGGGCAGACAGCCTTACCCCCGTTTTATAGAGGAGAAGGCCAACGATCTGAGAAGTGAAGTAAATTCTCCATGGTCGCACAGCTGGTGAAGAGTAGAATTCAAGAACAGAAACTTCTACTCTTCCCAAAGCCTTCTTCACCTGCATTGACCACAGAAATCCAGTATATTAAATAGGTCTGCTCCCCTTCCTCCTGTAGAGCAACTCCCTACACTCTCATGGTTCCAAACAACCCTATGGGTTTATTGATTTTCTCTGAGGGACTTAACTTGCAACAACTGAGGCCCTACATCCCGTGCAATAGAGTTCAGGCTAATCGGAGGTAACATTTTGCAGCCGGGTTGTTTATAAGTTGATTTTCGCTGATGTTTGAAGAAAAAATTGTAATGAGGGTCCTCAACTTTTTTTTTTTTTTTTTAAGAGACAGGGTCTCTTGCTCTGTCATCTAGGCTATAGTGCATTGGCACAATCAGAGCCAAATGAGCCTCGAACTCCTGGGTTTAGGAGATCCTCTCATCTTAACCTCCTGAGTAGCTGGGAATGCAGGCACGCATCACCATGCCCAGCTAATTTTTTAAAATTTTTTGTAGAGACAGGGTCTTGCTATGTTGCCCAGGCTGGTCTCAAGCTCCTGGCCTCAAGTGATCCTCCCACCTGGACCTCACAAAGTGCTAGGATTACAGGTATGAGCCACCAAGCCTGGCCAGTCCTCATCTTTTAGTGATAAATCCATTAATTACCAAATACACGTACCAATCTATAGGAGACTCACAGAAGATGTCTTTAAATAAAATCCAATGTGTCTTTAAGACAAGTGGTTAGTCTAGGTCCTAGGTGAGACCCAGAGGTCAAGGCATATACCACGTGGGTAGGTAGGGTAAGTTGTGAAGAAGTGGGAGGGTGGGGAGATCAAGGGTAGAAATGGGCTAGAAAGAAGCAAAATGGAGGCCCTAATGGGTCACCAGGTCAGGCCCTGGAACTTCTCCTCACCACCCTGGCCACAGACATGAGTTGATCTTACGATACTCTTCACAGTCACTGGCTTATCTCTTTGTGGCTGCCATTTTGATACAAGCATCCCGAAATGGCCATCACACATTTGCAGTGTTCACTTTAGCTTCTTCTAGATTTAATACGTCCCTTGTGGCTACTTGTAGTTTCAGTTTCGATGCAAGGCTTTCTGAGTCGACCTTGTACAGTTATAAATGTTTTAACATCCATAAAAAAATAAAAATGTACTCTCCCATAAAGAGCAGCAAACAGAAAACACAGTGAGGAGTAGGAAGATTTGGGGCTGTGCGCCGCTCGTCTCCGTGAGGCGCGGTCCCCGCGAGCTTCCACCGCATCCCCGAGTTTAATGGCTGTGAATCGGTTATCGCAGGCTTTTTAGAGGGCATTATATTAGTGTGACCGTTGGTAAGTACCAACTTCACGTTTTTATTTCCACCGCGAAGGAGAGCGTTTCCTATGCTCCTTGAGAAAGGGAAACAGGGCTTTGTAGCTTTTTTAACCCCCTGGAAAACAAGCTGCAGCTGCCCGTATTCACGTTCACCGCTTCTGAGGCTTTTGAAGCTTTACTTCTGTTAGGAAAATGTGCTGTTTATGCTCAAACAAAAGTTTCCTGGTGTTTTTGTTTTTTAAGATTAAAAAAAAAAAAAGAAAGAAACACTGGAGAGTGAAAACAAAGCTTTTAAAGCTTCATAAAAGGTTGGGAGTTCACTCCTTTCTGTTTCTCAGGGTTATAAACATGGTTCCAGAAAAAGCTGCATCTCAGAGCAGAGAGACCAACCAGACATTTAAAGGGGTAGCACCTTAACTTGTCAATTTTGAGAATACCAAATGATCCCGGAGGTTTTTTATTCCGTTAATCAGCTGTAATTTTCAGCTCTGATGCTGTCTGACAGGCTTCATCTCAACCCCTGTGCAACGCTGCCCCTGCGGCTTCATGGCTGTGAGATGCAAGTAAGGGGGAGGGCATCTGGAACACGAAGTGACAGCATAAATTGGGTGGGATCTCCCCCATCTATGGGGATTGGCGCCCCGGTTTGGAGGGCATGAAGGGGAAGGGTTGAAAGAATGGCCACTTCATGGAGGAGGGTCAGGTGCTAAGACTTTTTATATTTTTTTGCTTTTTCTTACCTTCCTTCCTTCCTTCCCTCCCCTCTGTCTTCCTCCTTCCTTCCTCTCTTTCTCTCTCTCTCTGTCTCTTCAGTTTTAAACCCAGTCTCTCCTTCTTCTTCTTCTTATTTGGATAACAGGCACACAGACTGTTTGGATCCAGGAGAAAATGTGGTAGGTGCACACACACATGCATATATTCAGAGAGACACACATACACTCACAAGGGTATTTATATCGAGGGTATTGAACAACACAACAATAGTAGTAGCTTTTACTTATTGAGGGTTTCTTAGGTGCCAGCTGCTATGGTCTGTGCTTCACAGAGCATTATCTCAATTAATTCTTTCACATCATCTGTGGGGCTCATTTTAGAGATCAGGAAGCTGATATGAGCCACAGGTGTGGATAAAAAAAGAGCTCAGCCTCAGAGGCCCGTGCCCTGCAGGTCAAAATGTCCCTGCTTTAAATCATTCTTTCCCTCAGTTCTGTCTACAACATGTAATCCCCCATAAACACTGACTTTCAGCAGTTGGAATTTGGGAGGAGCCACAGAGGGACTGGCAGCCCCTGGCAGGGGCTGTGTCTCAGGTGTGAGGACCAGAGTTGCTCACACTCAGGTCAAAAGACATTTCCCCATTCCTTGTCTTCATCCAGGTTGGCATTGGTTGGGGAGGCACTTAAACCAGGGGCTTGGGCTCTGAGGGTGGGGACATAAGGACTGCCTTCCTGCCAGGGCTGCCAGCACGAGGGAGGAGCGGTGGTTCTGGACATTCTTTCTGACTGATTTCTGGGCCACCTGTCAGACAGCAGGAAGACCAGCTTCCATCCAGCTGAGACCCTAGTGCCAGTGTGGCCCCACCCTCCATACACAAGATGCAGGACGATCTCTTTCCTTGTCTTGCCCCTGGGATAAGACTTGAGGCCTTTCCTGAGCAAAATATCCTAGCCTTAAAAATATAAATACACATGCCCTTAATTGCTTCAAGGTCAGTTTTTAGGAATTCTCATGTATTTGAATAATCAGTTTTAGAAGAGTTTGTTGCATTTCTACCTTAGCTTCCCTGTGAGTAAAATGGAAACATAAATCGCTTCCCATTTGGAATAGATGATGCAAGAAGATATTAAGATAAAATTAATTTTAATAACGAAATGGTCTTGTGTATGGATGGATAATATATTTTTATTTGATGTAATTTTGTCATTGTATAGTTATAACTGTCATTCTATTTCCATAGGTAGGTCTGTAAGTATTCTAGGCAGAATGGAATAAGAATGTGAAAATGATATTTCTCTTTTCATTTATGTCTAATCATGGGGTGTGTCCAGTGATCTTTCTCTCCAGTCTTCATTCCCCTTCTCTTCCGCCTAACCATCACAAAACAAGACAAACAAAAAGCAAGCAGTTGATTAGTGTTCCATAAGATCTTTTCTTGGTTAAGTTTGTTCTTGAACAACTTAAGTACAAAGTTCACTTAATTCCAAAATGCATATATTCACATAAGTCACACATCAAGACTTTTCTTTTTAAAAATACATGTGTGTATGTACATGAAAAATCCCGCAGTGGTGTACAATTTGCAACCGTTCATCCAGGGGTGATTTCTTATCAGGGAGATCATCCCCCACCCAAATCACAGTTCAAGGTCGTTACTGATTTCTAGTTCAATCATATCTAATATTGTTGGCATGGAAGATTCAAATCCTTTCTCTCCTTGCTTACTGTTTTTAGTTTTAAGTAATGCTGTATCTTCTAGCTACCAAATAATGTCACAGATGAAAAATATTACCCTGAAGAAGCAAAACACTTAAGTGGCTTTTTAGGGTCTTAAACTTATAAAAGCCCTGTGAAATCATGTGTAGAAGAAACTATCACACACCATGAAGAGAATTATGCTCCGGTATGATAGTAATTAACCACCTCCCTAAATAGCTGGTTGTACTTGTAACCCTCGTGTCAGGATTAGAATCCTTTAAATAACGGCCGTGTTTATGGTTCTAATTTGGTTTGCAATTGATTCTCCTAAAAACCATAAGCCAGAAAAGTGCTTATTTTACGGACCACAATATAGCCTTCGTGGAGACTATTTTAAAATCACTCTGGTGTCCTACAAACTTCCAGATCTTTTGTTTTCATAAATTATGAAAGGGAAATGTCACAAGCACTCATTGCTGTGGTGCCCTGGCTCTGCTGACAGCCGCATGATGCTCACTGAGTGCGGCAGGATGGGAGCTGAGAGTTTCGTCAATAAATGTGACTCTGATCACTTCACGTCGACGGGCCAGGTAATGGCGTCTTAGTATCTGGGAAACAAGCACCACTCCCAGTCACATGCGGACTTGAGAGTTGAAATCCATACTGTGGAGCTCATCTCATTCTTTCTTCTTGACAGAAATTCCACTTTTTATCTTTCTCACAATTCTTGATGATAATCTGTTTCTGATACAGTCATATTTCTTACTTATATTTTACCACCACATAAGGCTGCACATATCCTGTCTGCAGTATGTGGAAATAAGAGTTGAAACTAACACTGTGTATTCCCTTAGATGGAATATTTCCCCCTCGCAACCAGTTCCAGCACGGGCATGACCACTGCTTCTCTGGATCCCCGAAGACAATTAGATCAATGTTTTAAAATATAAGAAATGCAAACAACAGAAGGCCAGGGAAACTAATCCTCCATATAGGAAGAACCATGTGGAATAAATCTCAAGGGCATTTTTTAGAAGAAATCAATATTAAAACATTTTGTGTGTGAATTAATTTAAAAATAAACTGTAGCTTTCCTTAGTCTCCTAGCTGCCCTACTTTATCCATTTCCTCATTTGCCTCTATCCTTCATCTGCAGGTATCGCCTCTACCAGGAAGGGTATTTTCCATGGATGCTAGATCCAAATATTGTACATAACTGGCCCTTAAATTCATAGTTTTATTTTAAAGATACATTTGTTCGTGTGCTGCTTCTCTCATAGTTTGGTATTATAGCACAAAATATAAAATCCATAAAAAGGGATT